ACACACACACACACACACACACACACACACGCACACACACACACAATAGATAAAAATGTAAGAAATTTTATATAAAAATATCCATAACACTGCATTGTCCATGAGATTAACTCAGCCTTCTTAACCTCCCCATATGAGCAGTTCGTGTCCCATGGCTCCCAACCAGGGTCAGACTGCGAGGCATTGTTCCTCCAGCACATCTTGAACCCGTGGCTCCTCCACAAATGTCCCCTAATCGCTTTCTTATTCCTTCAGTATTTCTTCTTGTGAAACTTGAGGCTCTTATTTGCTATCTGTGATTATGGTTCTTCATAAATTTATCTTAAACCCTTTAAGGTAACAGCTGCAGGCGTGGTGGCTCAGGCTTTTAACCCCAATATTCAGGAGGCTGAGGCAGGAGATTTGCTGTGAATTGTAAATTTTAGGGCCAGCCTGGGTTACATAGTGAGATTGAGGCCAGTGTGGATTATATATCAAAATCCTGTCTCACTGTGGAATGTAGCTCAGTGGTAGAGTGCTTGACCAGCATGCCTGAGGTCCAAAATTCAATCTCTCCAGAGTGCTAAAATTCTGTTCCAAAGAACGAAACAAAGAAAGAAAAGAAGGAAAGAGAGAGAAAGAGAGAGAGAGAGACAGAGACAGAGACAGAGACAAAGAAAAGAGAAACAAACAAAAAAGGTACAGTGTCCTACCATGGGTGATGCCTTCTGCCACAGCAGCCGAGGCTGGTGCTGACACAGTGGCCCATCTCTATGGTCACAGTGCTGGCAAGCTTGTGGAGGGGGCAGCTACTTGAGTTCCCAAGTGGGAGCCTAGGCTGGGCAACATAGTAAAGTCTGCATTTAAGAACAAAGAAGAGAGCCGGGCATGCTAAGCCTTTAATCCCAGCACTGAGGAGGGCACTCAGGAGGCAAAGGCAGGTGAATCTCTGTGAGATCAAGGCCAGTCTGGTCTTACATAGTATGTTCTAGGCCAGCTGGGGCTACAGGGAGACCCTGTCTAAAACAATAATAAAAGAAAAGAAAAATAATAAAGAGTCATTGTTGAATTAAATCAAAGCTGAATTAATTGCTACCCTCTAGGACTTTAGATTGGCTTTGTTTTTAAGACAGGGTCTCTAGTAGCCCAGGATGGTCTCCAACTCCTGATCTTGCCTCTCCCTCTCAAGTGCTAGGATTTCAGAAGAGCGGCCACTATGCTGGGCTTTCAGACCTTATTTAGTTTTGCCACATTTATTCTCTTCACAATACATACCCCTCCAGTGAACTAGAACTGATCTGCTCAACTTTACTCAGGAGCAGAAAACTGAGGCTTGGATAATAAAAGATAGTTGATCCACATAGGGGTGGTGGGAACTGGTATGGGATCTTCAGGCCAGAGCAAGTTTAACAAAGACTTTGTATTCTCATGATTATTTAGTCTCTTCTCAGGGGTTGTATGATAGCCTGGAGCCTGAACAGCTACTGCAGGTCTCCAGGCCTAGGCTGAAGTAATACATTTCTTTAACCTCTGTGTATCTTATTTTATCTTTTTGCAGCATTGGGGGTCGAACTCAGGGCCTCAAGCATGCTAAGCAAGGTCTCACAACTGAGCTACTCAGTCCACCCCCTCAGAGAGTATTTTAAAAGTTAAAAGAAAGTGGAAAAATAAATTTAGCTCTTAGAGAAAGATGCAGAGCAAAACCATACGCAGCTTTAAAATTCAAAGCATTTCTTCTCTGAAAGAAAGCTAGGACAGTTTGTCTCTGCAGTTTTTCATCATACAAATTGCTTTGCTTGAAAGGCAAGTGGGGGTAAATATAGCAGCAGTATCTCTGATGTAATATTCTCTGGCCTGGCCTGGCCTGGCCATGCTTTTGACATTAACCTAGGGAAAGAGAAGAAAAGAAAGATCCCTTGGTAGATTGTGGAAGAGAAACTCCTTTTCCAGCCATTACCAAGGCAGGGGGACAGATGAGTAAGAAGAATGAAAATAAAGAATGAAAAGATGCTAGCCATTGTGACTCCTGGGTTTGGCCGGCTCTGCCTGGCGAGACAGTCAGTGCCAGAGCCAAAGCCTGTCAATCAGCAGTGTTCGCCTAGGTGAAGGTGGCCAGATGCCCTGCCCTGGGAACCACCCACTGCTCCACTTCCAGTCCTGCCCACCGCACTTCGGAAAGCTTCCTACAAAAAGGGGCTTGTAGTTACTGAGGCCCACTTTCTCCTTGCTCTTTCCAAGCCCCACCCCCTTTTTTTTCCTAACAGAACAACTTAATGATAGCAGTAATGAAACTTTAATTTGAAAATGGTTTGGAATATACACCAAAGAGGACTTTAGGTCTGGGAGCTGGAACAGCCTGGACAGTGACTTTCTGCTGAGACTTTTACAGAGAACATTTAGTGAATTACATGTGTAATTTTTGTTTTTTTCAGTCTTTTTGAGACAGGGTGTCCCTGTAGTAGGGCTGGCCTGGAACTCACTATGTAGACCAGGCTGGCCTCCAATTTACAGAGATCCACCAGCCTCTGCCTCCTGAGTGCTGGGATTAAAGGCACGTGTCATTACACTCAGAGTAATTTTTTTTTTAAGTAGGGAAGGAAGGAAACAATATATTGAGAAACTTGGCTTAAGCATATTGTATACTCTTTTCCTGCCCAGTAACATAGCTGTTTGATGGGTTAACTGTAATTATCTCATTTCCAATGTTTATTACAATGACTCAACTCTTGTATTTCTTCAATTGCTTTGTGTGGGGTTTTTGTTGCTGTTGTTTCTTTTTTGTTTTGTTTTGTATTATAGTCTTTAAAAAATATCCTATTTATTTCTATGTGATGTGTCTGAGTATATCTAAGTATACCATGTGTGTGCCTGTTACCTGAAGCCAGAAGAGGGTATCAGATTCCCTAGAAATGGAGTTAAAGATGGCTGCTAGCTGCCATTTGGGTGATAGGAACTGAACCCAGAGCTTCTGGAAGAACACAGTGCTCTTAAACACTGAGCCATCTCTCCAGCCTCTGTGTTGTATTTTCTTAGATTTTTTTGTTTGTTTGATACAAGGACTTACTATGCAGCCCTGGTTGTCTTGGAACTTGATTCATAGTAGACCAAACTGACTTTGAACTTACAGAGATCTGTCTGCCTCTGCCTCCCAAGTGCTGTGATTAAAAGCTTGTGCCACCGACTTGGAACATACTGTGTAGTCTAAGATGGTCTCCAGCTAATGATAATCCTCCTGCCTCAGTCCCCCAAGTGCTGGGATTACAGGAATACTGCACTATACACACCCAGCACCCAGGAGCAGAGACAGGAGCATCACTTAGATGGAGGCCAGCCTGGGCTGCAGTGAGATCCTGGCTCAAACAGACAAAGCAAAAAGTACCAGCTGACAACACAGTGACCAGAACATAGGAACAGCAAGTGTGTTTCTTTGTTATTACCCTATTAATTATTTAGATTTTCAGATGTTATGTTGCCCAGGCTGACCCTGAACTCCTGAGCTCAAGTGATTCTCCTGCCTCAGTCTCCCAATAGCTGGAACTCCAGGTGTGCACTGCCACATCAGGTTTTAGCAGCATAGCCTTTTTCACTTTGGGCTTCCAGTATGTATTTTATATTTCCTTCCTCTATTTGTTATTACCCTATTAATTATTTAGATTTTCAGATGTTATGTTGCCCAGGCTGACCCTGAACTCCTGAGCTCAAGTGATTCTCCTGCCTCAGTCTCCCAATAGCTGGAACTCCAGGTGTGCACTGCCACATCAGGTTTTAGCAGCATAGCCTTTTTCACTTTGGGCTTCCAGTATGTATTTTATATTTCCTTCCTCTATCTCATCCTTCCTTTTTAAAAAAAAAAAAAAAAAATGATGTCAGGGCTGGAGAGATGGCTCAGCGGTTAAGAACACTTACTCCTTTTGCAGAGGACCCTAGTTCATTCCCAACACCCAGGTTGGATGGCTGACATACAACTGTAATTCTAGCTGAGTTCCAGGGGATCCGACAGCCTCTTCTGTCCTCCACAGGCATTGCACGACATGAGTGCACTTACCTACATGCAGGCGATACAAGCAAACACACAAAATAAAAATAATAAATAAAATATTTTTTAAAAATATGATATCATGTAGCCCAGGCTGGCCTCTTATCTCCACCTCCCTAGAACTGGGATTATTAATATGCCCCACCATGCCCATGCTTGAATGTGTTTCTGAGGGCCTCAGCAGTTTCTTTCTTCCTTTGGAGATGAGTCAGCATCAAGATCTTTTTGAGATAGGGTCTCCCTATAGCCACAGCTGGTCTGGAATGTAGGCCAGGCTAGCCTTGAACTCACAGAGATCTGTCTGTCTCTGCCTCTGAATGCTGAGATCAAAGGCATGCACGCCCTGCTGCATCCAGAAGTCTTGAGAAGCAAAATCCACGCCTTCTAGAAGGGAAGCCCCTTTCACCTTTAGCCCTCAGCCCTTGGCCTTCACCCTTGCTGCCTGGGGAAAGCTCCAGGAAAAGCTTGCCTAATTCCCAGCTAGAAAAACAACTCCTCTCTGGAATTCAAGCATAGTTTAGAGGTCAGAGAAATTCTCAGCCCGGTGCCCAAAGAACCACACATTTTACCTTCTGTTTCAGTTTGTAGAGTGCTGTGACAGACAGGGAACAGCATAATACTTAGCTTTTATTTCAGGTCATTTCATTTCTTGGTTTTAATTCATTGATTAATTTTTTAAAATGTTTCACTACATATAACTGGCCTTGAGCTCTTGATCACCCTGTCTCCACTTGCCTGGTCCTGGGATTACCAGACAGAGCCACCATGCCTGAAATAGTAAGTTTTATTAAGTTCAAATTTTCCATTTTATAAAGTAAAACTAAAGTAATAAAACCCATCCAGAGGATGGAGGGAGACTGGAAAAAGGTAAAGCAGAAAGAAAAGACACGCTCATCACCAGAGGCCCTACATGCTCTGGGTAAGTCACCTTTTTTCACTTTTCTCCTCACAGCCTCCAGGGAAGGAAGGATTTAACCCTATTTCTTGGAAACTGAAGCTTGCAGACAGAGCAGTATGTCAAAGGTAACAGGGCCACACAGTGGGAGAGCCAGAAGTTAAAAGCACTTCCTCTGACCACTGACCTGCTAGATGCATCTTCCAGGGAGGACTGCACAGGAAGAAGGAATCCCTGAACTTTTACTGCCTGACTACCGGTCACGTAGTCAGTGCATAGTTGTCGGCCTGGCCTCGTGACTATAATTCTGGTCCTGGCCCAGGGTGGTATTCTGTTGTAAAAAGATGTTTTGTTTGCTGGTGAGAAACAAGGATTTGAGTGGAAGAAATGAGATGACATGCATAATTGATCTGTTTGGGTTAGATCACTTGGGCTGGGGGTGGTTTAAAGGAGAACTTCACAGTATACAGTCAGAAAGCAAAGGAGCAAGTTGTTTCCCAGAGAGAGGAAACCCAGGCTGCCATGCTGGCCAAATAATCAAGACTTAACATTTCTCTGTTTGGCCTTAAGTATTATTTATTTATCTATCAACCTATTTATTTAATTTATTTATTTTGGGTTTTTTTGAGACACAGTCTGGCCTGGGACCTGAGATATGGGATCAAGTCTTTGTAACAATGTTTTGAATAACTGATACAGCATTAAAAAATAAAAGAAGGGATCAGCAAAATGGTTTAGTGACTAAGGGCACTTGCCATTAAGGCTGGCAACCTTCTTCCATCCCAAAAACCACATGGTAGAAGGAGAGAACCAACTCCTGCAAATTGTGCTCTGACCTCAGCATGCGCCACCCCCCAAACACAATAAATAATTTTTTTTTTTTTCGGTCTTTTTGAGACAGGGTCTCCCTGTAGCCCCAGCTAGCCTGGAACTCACTATGTGGATCAGGCTGACCTTGAACTCACAGAGATCCACCTGCCTCTGCCTCCCGAGTGCTGGGATTAAAGGTGTGTGCCACCACGCCTGGCAATAAATAAATATTTTTAAATGTTTGAATAAAAATAAATAAAAAGGCCAAATATAGTGGTACATGCCACTACATTCCAGCACCGGGGAGTTCGAGGGGGGAGTGCACAGAGGCAGGAAGTTCTCTGTGAGTTCCAGGCCAGTCTGGTCTACATAGCAAGTTCAGGCCAGCTGGGGCTACAGGGAAACCTTGTCTCAAAAATAAACAAATAAATAAAAAGACCAGAAAAGTAAAAAAAAATTTTTTAAGAAAAATAAAAAATATGACATTCAAAGGAAACAAAATACATAGCATTAAAAAGTCATTTTTTTCAGAACTTTTCCCCAGCCAGCCTGATGGCTATACAGAATCCAGAGGCACTGATTCAGGCTAAGTAAAAGAAGTTCTAGTAAAGGGGCTGCTCTTTACACAATGTGATCTGAGAAGTGTGGAAAGACCTAATGCTTGGTCCAAAACATATCTCCACCCACCTGGTCTCACTTTTATGTACTACTTGGTAGGAAGTTTTTTTCATTGTAGGGCTGTGGGATAACGGAGTGTAAACCTTATCTCTAAACAAAGATGGGGAACTGAAGATATGTCTTAGTTGGTAAAGTGCTTGCTAGCATGCATGATGTCCTGGATTTAGTACCTGCCATCATATAAACCAGGGGTGGTGGTGCATACCTGTAATCCTAGCACTTAGGAGGTAGAGACAGGACAATTAGTTCAAGGTCAGCTGCATAGCAAATCCCAGACCAGCCTGGGATATGTGAGACCTGTCTGAAAAAAAAATTAAAAACACTAATTTTAGAAATATACATAAAAGGGCCAGGCATGGTGGCTCATGCCTTTAATCCCAGCACTCAGGAGGCAGAGGCAGGAAGACATCTGTGAGTTCAAGGCCAGTCTGGTCTACATAGTGTGTTCCAGGGCAGCTGGGGCTACAGGGAGACCCTGTCTCAAAAAAAAAAAAGAGAAAGGAAAGAAATATATGTAAAAGGAATGATTGCGCCGGGCATGGTGATGGCACGCCTTTAATCCCAGCATTCAGGAGGCAGAGGTAGGTGGATCTCTGGGAGTTCAAGGCCAGCCTGGTCTATATAGTGAGTTCCAGGCCAGCTGGGGCTACAGGGAGACCCTGTCTCAAAAAGATCAAAAAGAAAAAAAAAAGGAATAATTGCAAAAATGAATGCTTTTAAATTTTGAAGCAGAGTTGGAATTTATAATTTATGGTGAGATTTTAATATAAATTTTAAACACTAAGGTTAAGAGAAAGAAAATGGGGGCCTGAAGAGATGGCTCACCTGTTAAGAGAACTTACTGCTCTTAGATAGGACCCAGGTTCATTTTCCAGCGCCCACAAGGAGTCTCACAACTACCTGTAACTCCAGCTCTAGGGGATCCAATGCCCTTTGGCCTAGGAGGCATCACGCACACATATGATGCATTTACATACACCTCTTGAGTGCTGGGATTATAGGTGTGTGTTACCGTATCAATTTTATGGGGTGCTGACCATGTAGACCAGGATGGCATCAAACTCATAGCGATCCACTGCCTCTGCCTCCTGCATGCTGTGATTAAAGGCATGTACCACCATGTCCAGGCTGAGAATTACATACACATATTTTCTGTGTAGAAAAATGAGATTTTTTAAAAGAAAGGAAAAGAAAAATGAGATTCTAAAAACTATAGTTTGAAAATCTTTAATGAGCCAGATACCAATGACATAAGCCAGTAATCCCAGCTACTCTGGAGGCTGATACAGGAAGATCACAAATCAAAGCTAATAGCTGGGGCTATAGAGTGGGACCCTGTCTCAAAAGAACAAGCAAATAAACAACAGCAAAACCCAACAACAGCAAAACTAAAAAAAACAGAGTAAGGTCAGACTGGGCATTGGACAACTTAATGAGAGCCTGTCTCAAAAACATGAAAATGAGGGACTGGAGAAGTAGTTTAACTGTTAAGAACACTGGCTACTTTTGCAGAGGAACCAGGTTTGGTTTGGTTCACAGCACCCACATGATGGCTAACTACCATCCATAACTCCAGTTCCAAGGGATCCAACACTGTCTTCTGACCTTTGTGGGCACTGTAAAACACAGGTGTGCTTACATACATGCAGACAATATACTCATACATATAAAATAAAAAAAAAAAACTAATAAAATATTTTTTAAAAACACGAAAATGTAGCTTAGTGGACAATTGCTCATTTAGCACATTAGAAGCCCTGGGTTCAACACCCCAGTACCACAAAAATAATCTTCAATGATCCCTGGAAAGATTTTGGCATAGAATATTAAAAACATGTTTTATGAGCACTTAAAGTAATTGACCCTAACTGCCAACGTGGATCCACTAAGGGCAAGTTCATTCATCCAACAAATATTTATTGTGTACCTTCTGTTCCAGTTACTGTGTAAGGAACAAGGATGAGGCAGAAAACAGGACAGGCCAATTCCTGCCCCTCAATGAAAAAGTTGGTTAATGAAAAATCACAGTGCAATTAGAAATGCTGTGTAAGAAAACCAAGGGATTTATGTGAATACATAATTAGCAGAATTAGCCTCCCTAGGCAAGGAGGCAGGATTAAGGAGACCTGCTGTGAGGAAGCAGCTCTTTCCCAGAGCCCTGTGAAGTAGTAGAATTTAGGTGGGCAAAGTGTAAAGAATGCCTAGAGAAAACCTGAGAAACCCATGTTCAAAAAGCACCAGGCAGCAGCAAGCTGGCAACAGTGGGGGAATGGACCGCTGCAGGTGGCTAGAACAGTCCTCAGGACAGAGAGGGCAAGAATGCGACCACCCAGGTGAGACAAGGAGGGGCACACCTGTGACCCCAAAACTTGGGAGGCTGAGGCAGGAGGATCATGAGTTCCAGGGCAATTTGGGTTAAAAAGAAAGACTCTGGAAAGAACAAGGGGTTGGAGAGATGGCTCAGCAGTTAAGGGTACTGGCTGCTCTTGCAGAGGACCTGTGTTCTCTTCCCAGCACCTATATGGTGTCTAACAGCCATCTGTAACTCCAGTTCCAGGGGATCCTATACCCTCTTCTGGCCTCCAAAAACGTTGCATGCACATACTTACATGCCAGCAAAATACTCATACACATAAAATAAAAAATTTAAATATACATATTTTAAAAAGAGAGAAGAAAGGAGAGAGGGGAGGAAGGCAGGAAGGACCACAAACAACAGCAGCAGCAAAGAACAGGTTGTGTAATGAAGACAAACTTTGAAAAAACTGTCAACTCAAGGTTATTTGCCGACCATTCTTTCATGCCTGGGCATCAAATCCTCCTTAAAGGAAGATCTATGTGGTGCATCTTCTTTTCTGGTTCACCACTGCATTTATAATTAAAGCACTTCAAGGCCCTAAATGATCCGCTGCTGCCTGCCTGCCTTTCTTCCACTTGCCTCTGTCCACATTGGTGTGGATGAACTGGTCTTCCTGTGTCCTGAAGCCCATCCCTCTTCAAGGCCTCTGTGTAGGATGTTTCTCTAGTATGTAATCCTAGAGATGTATACTTCAGTCTTCACATGACCAGTTCCTTCTAAACTTATCTCCTCTCTTCTCGTAGTTCCACATAGTGTTACCTCATTTGATTTCTTCATGTGATTAAATAAAAGTGCATCTAACTAAAAGTAATCTACATTACTTAATTTGTGTTTACATTTATCTTATCACCTATGACCTAAGTACTGTAATGATGTCAATTTGTTCTGTTTGGTTCATAATTCTCTTCCCAGGCATGTGCCGCCATGCACAACTTGTATTAATTAAAGAGAATTGGATGAAGTACAGAATATACGTTGGATAATGCTCTAGACTGATGTAGCTTAAGCCTCCTAGACAACTTTACCCAAATAGTATTCATTAGTATTGATGTTTATCTGCACAGAGATCGCTAGACTCTTATTGATATAGGTCTGTTGTGGTCCTGTCAAACAGTTAAAACTCAATGATTTGTGTAAACAGAAATGTTGTAATCATCTGAATTTTGAGTAACTCAAAGATGGGTCTGGCGGCAGGTTTCTTTTCTAAAGGACCTCAAAGTCTACGAATAGCAGAGTGAAGAATGAATGGACATAAGATAAACCCAATGAACTAATTTATAGCAACAAAAGCGGGTGAACTACACCCAGAGAAAATGTCACAAAGGCAGTGTCCAAAAAAAAAAAAAAAAAAAAAAAAAAAAAAAAAAAAAAGCTCGGTGGTGCTAAGAGTCACAAGTGTGATTCTCTTCAGGAAGGGAAACGGCCAGTGTTTGAGAGTAGGAATAAAGAAGGCTTCTAAGGAAGTGATAATGTTCAATAGACTGAACATTAATTAAAAGTTCACATGTAGTTCCTGAATTTGAATGAAAGAATTTTAATATTTTGCCAGTTATGATTACAGTTGTTGGTCAGGCAGAGTGGCTTTAATCTGAGCACTTAGGAAACAGAGGCTGACAGATCTCTGTATGATGATCGAGGAGAACCTGGTCTACAGAGTGAGTTCTAGGTTAGCTGGGGCTATAGGGAGACCCTGACTCAAACAAACATAAATAAATACATACATACATACATACATATATACATACATACATACATAAAATACACACACCCCTTGGCTTAGCAATTGCAGTCCTGGGAATCTATCCTGTTGAAATAAGATGACTGGTTTTAATAAAACTATTGGAGTAACATACTATCAGACATATATACAGGATATTGTTTGCACCTGCATCTTATATAGCAACACATACACAAACACATACATACATACACACATGCACAATTGTAAAACAGCTTGATTATCCCTTATCTAAAACGCTTAAAACCAGAAATCTCTCAGAGTTTGGATTTTTTCAGATTAGGAAACATTTGCATATATGTATGGTATCTTGACAAAGGGACCCATGGCTAAAAACAAAATCCAGTTACTGGCCTCAAACTTACTGGGTAATCGAGGACAACTTTAAATGCCTGATCCTCCTCCTTCCACCTCCCACACACTGGAGTATAGATGTATGCCCAGGCCTGGCTTCCTGGTTCATGTACTTGATCCCTTAAGTTTACATGTAATTACATGACCAGGTGAGACCATGTAAACTCTTTAGGGGACCAAAGAGTATGTGTTTTTTGTTGGCTATCTACTCATTTACATAGCTCCTAAACTGTGTTCCACATACTTCCAAGGTCTGGGAACATTACTCACCTCTTTTCACCAGCAGTTTAAAGTTCAAACAATCATTTCCTAGCACAGTTTTACAACAGCCCCTCTCTCTATTCCTCTACCATTTTGTCAAAAAGCTCTCTATTCTTTCCCTATGTTCCACAAATACTAAAGGACCACTTGAAGAAAATGGGCTCCTGAACTTTGTTTTGTCATAGAAGACAAGGAGAAGGACATTCCTAAAACACAAAATCGAGACTTTCAAGAGAGTGTTTTTCCTTTTTTAATAATATTTTATTTATTATTTCTATTTTATGTGTATGAGTGTTATGCCTGCATGTAGGTAAGTAAGTGCACCCATGTTGTGCAATGCCCGTGGAGGTCAGAAGAGGGCCGTCGGATCCCCTGAAACTGGAGTTACAGACAACTGCTAGCTGCCATGTGGGTACTGGGATTCGAACCCCGGTGTTCTACAAGAACAGTCAGTGTTCTTAACCGCTGAGCCATCTCTCCAACCCCTCAAGAGAGTGTTTTCCTTTTATAAAACAACCTTTGGTCTATACTGAAAACACAGTAAACATGCATGTTGACCTGAGGGGAGAAGGCATAGGATGTTCACCTTACATGACCTCCCTGACTTCCTGACCCTTCTCTCTTGCAGGTCTCTCCATTCCAAGGCACATGTGTGGGTCATCACCATTCGAAAAACTGAACTCCTCTCTTCAGGACGGGGCAATGACTTCCTATTAAAGTTTTCATTATTCCCCTAAGGTGCTCCCTGGGAGAGAGGAAACACTTCAGGAGAGCAGATAAAGCCAACACATTGGCATCATTCACATATCTGTTTGAAAGTTGTAGTTTTTAATCAAATACCAAAGGGTTTGCCAACATGGGGTTAACTTTGGTGGAAAAATGAGTGTTTTTTTTAAAATTTTTTTTTTTTTTTTTTTTTTTTTTTTTTAAATCTCTTCAGTCCAAAGTTAACCTATTTAAAATTGACTACTGAGAGTTGGCCTCTTGTCTAAAGGTTTAGCTGTAAGCAAACAATCTAAAAAAAAAAAAAAAAAAAAAAAATTGAAAGAACTTGTTTTTGATCAGACTGTTCAAAGAAGGTCTTAAGTGGGTGAAAGTTCAGTAGGCTGAAACAATAGAAACATTTGGGAATGGAATATGGCCTTGACTCACCCTTAAGGCAACACTTCAGTTCACCTTGCTAGCTAGCCCCCTTCATGGGACAATATGGACACAACCTCTCTGATCAGTTCTCAAGGTGATCTTTAACATTAAGAGCCAGTCAGAAGATAACATGTTCAGTGGTTGGGCATCTATTGAGGTCTAGAAAAACTGGCAACAAATTCCAGGAGGGTTGGTCAAACAATCTCGCAAATCATTTTTCATGATTAAAAAACAAGGGGGTAGGGGCTAGAGGGATGCCTCAGCAATTAAGAACACTTCCTGCTCTTGTAAAGGACCTGGGTTCAATTCCTAGCACCCACATAGTGGCTCATAACCATCTGTAACATCAGTTCCAAAGGCTCCTGTACCCTCTTCTGGCCTCTATGGGCACCAGGCATACATGTGTTGCACATGCATACATGCAGGCAAACATTTGTACACATAAAATAAAAATAAATACATAATAAAAAAAAATTATTTATTATTTTTATTTTATGTGTATCTGTGTATTGCCTGCATGTAGGTAAGTGTACCCGTGTCGTGCAATGCCTGTGGAGGTCAGAGGAGTCTGTCGGATCCCCTGGGACTGGAGTTACGGACAACTGTTAGCTGCCATGTGGGTACTGGGATTCGAACCCGGGTCTTCTGCAAGAACAACCAGTGTTCTTAACCGCTGAGCCATCTCTCCAACCTCATAAATACATCTTTTTTAAAAAGGGGGATAATGCTGGGCATGGTGGTGCATGCCTTTAATCCCAGCACCTGGGGGGCAGAAGCAGGCAGATCTCTGAGAGTTCAAGGCCAGCCTGGTCTACATAGTGAGTTCCAGGCCAGCTGGGGCTACAGGGATACCCTGTCTCAAAAGGAACAAAAAAAGGGAGTGAGGGGAGGTAATTTAGGCATGATAGCACATTTCTGTAATCCCAGACACTTGGGAGGCTGAGGCAGGAGGACTACAAGTTCAAGGCCAGTCTGTGCGACATACTCTGTCTGTGCTACAGACTCTGTCTCAAAATAAAATTTAGAGTCTGGAGAGATAGCTCAGTGGTTAAGAGCATTGATTGCTCTTGTAGAAGACCTGGGTTCAATTCCCAGCACCCACATGGTGGGTAACAACCATCTGTAACTTCTAGGGGCTCCGATACCTTCTTCTGGCCTCTAAAGTTTAAAAATAAAATCCTGGAATGTTAGCTCAGTGGTAGAGCATGGGGCCCTGGGTTCAGTGACTACAATACTACACACACACACACACACACACACACAAGCTCTCACAGTTTCCATTACTCTGTATCCATTCTATTCCAGATTACTATCAAAACCAATCAGTGCCTCTGATTAATTAACTAAGTAATTCATCAGAATTTTTTTGTGGCAGGATTTCCCTATACAGCCCAAGTTGGCCTCCAACTCACTATATAGCCCTTGCAGACTTCTAATTGACATGCCTAATAACTTCAGTCTCCTGGGTGGTAAGATTATAGGCATGGGCCACCACACACAGTCTATGCCCTGACTTAAACCTTACTTTTAACCTTTTCTCTAAAAGATAGAAAAATGAACTTAATTATTTATTAATGAGATTCTAAATTAAAAGTCCAAATTAACTATTATTTCAAACACGAGAAGATAACTACACACCTGTGACTTTGCTAATGAGATTCTGTTGGGCCAATCATTGTCCTGAGTTCTCTGGGAAGGTCCAGGCTTCACAGGTCATGAAGTTTGGAAGTTCCTCAGTTTGGAAAGTACTAGTTTAGTTATAGCGTCTGTACTAGTTACTCATCTCAGTGCTGTAACAAAATACCTGACAGAAACAAACTAAGGAAGGAAGGATTTATTTTGGTTTACAATTTGATATACGCACTAAACACACACCCTATACATACACAGAGACTTTTAAAAAAAAGAAAAAAGGAAAACAAAACAAAAAATGGTTGGGGGGTGGGAAACACCAAAAACAAAACAAACAAACAAAAAAGCCTTAAGGACAGGCATGGTCATGCATGCCTTTATTCCCAGCACCAAGAAGTCAAGGGCAGGCGAATCTTTGTGAGTTACAGGTCAGCTTGGTCTACCTAGAGACTTCCAGGCCAGCTGGAGAGCTACATAGTAAGACCCTATCTTTAAAAAAAAAAAAAGGCTGGGGAGATAAGTCAGTGAATAAAGACATCTGTGTCTTTACAATTTCATTTCATCCCCTTATTCTTTACATCTCTAATGTACGAGATAGTGTAGGCCTAACACACTTAGTGAATAGTGAAGTTATTTCTTTCTTCACTTGATCTTAGCCAAAAGGCCAAGAAGCGATTCTTTATTATTAGTATGTGTGTACATATGTGCACACACGTGAGCTTGCATGCCACAGAACACAAATGGAGATCAGAAGATAACTTTGTGAAGTTGGTTCTCTCTGTTAGGGAAAGAGGAATTTACTGCTTGTTTGAATTTACTGCTTGTCTGAATTTACTGCTTGAATTTACTTGTTTGAATTTACTGCTTGTAACCAATTAACTCAACTGAAGACACAGGCATCCGGAGATAGGGGCAAGTGCTACAGCCCCCCATAACCTGACCTGTCTTGTCTGTCATGTCTG